AAAGTATTGACTGGCAACTCAACAAACGATTGCTCTACAGCATCAATGAGATCGTCGATCGTACGAGTTCTCTTTTGATACTGTAGACTTTGAATAGCGTTAAAATATCCTAAGTCGAGAACGTTAAAGTCGGGGCTGTTAGGTGGTTGGTTCGCGATGCCAATTGATTTCACCCCATTCGCAACCAACATCTCGGACGACACAACTCTGTGCGGGCTTGCATTGTCTTGTTGGATGAGAACACCACGTTGCAGACAGGCGCGAGGAAACTTGGCCGTGATGGCGGGGACGACATTGTTGAGCACGCAGGCCGAGTAAACCTTGGCGTCAACGTTCAGCGGGGTCGTCACCAACGTGCCCTTCGGGCGGTTCTTGCTGTTCCTTGCGGCGGGAATTCGTTGGACAAGGGGCCAAATTCCAAGCTTGCCGTCGAATATACGCTTGAGGTGGTGGTCGTAGCGCGGGCGCGCAACGGCAGCGAGAAACATCACTTTCGTGATGAAACGCTTCGACTTGGCTGCTCGATGAGCAAGCTCCTCATCATCATACACGTAGAACGTTCTCTTAACCTTGGTCAAAAAGAACCACTTTTCGTCGATATGTACTCTGTCGTACATATTGTCAAAAAAGTGGGCTCCATTTGACCCAGGTCGGAGAAATCCCAGCGCGAAATTGACGCGTTCGATCTTGTTGCCGTCCGTCAACGCAGGCTTGACGTACCTGATCGCCCCTTGAGTTTCTTCTTCTCTTGCATATGACGAATAACGACGGTCTTGGGGATGCCACTCTGCGCTGCGAGTGAGCGAAGAGTCTGTCGGTCTTGCTGCGGAACGGCTCGGATTGCAGCTTCGATCGCTTCCGGAGAACGGCGGAGCGGTCGCCCAGAATTCCCTAGATAAGATTACCTTTCAAAATTAATACCCCCAAAATTGATTTTGGTATAGATATATAGAGGTTTTATCCTCGTACCTCGCGTCTTTGAGTCGACATCGGCAACTTGAGCGCCATTGAGGAGAGAGCGTCGCGCTCGGGCCCAGAGTTTGGAAATAGTCGTCCGATGACAACTAAACTGTTTGGCGGTCTCGGATATAGCTCCATACGGCAAGCGGCCTCCAGACATATGCGTCAGGAGCGTTTCATAGACGCATCGTCGTTCCACCGGCGAGAGGTGTTTGGCCGGGCCAATGGAGG